CAGTCTGATTTTCCTCTTGGCACATGTCAGCTTCCAGATCTGCCTGTATACCATCCCCAGCCTTGATAATGCACTGGGACACAACTGTAAGTCTGACTTGTTTCAAGTGCATGTACAATCATAGAGCGCATTCTTCTCCACTAAGTATCATTAAGCAGCATTCACAAAGAGGATGCATTCTTTCATTAAAAAAACTAAATTTGAGAAAAACACAGTGTTGTCAAGTTGTTTCTAAACTAAATGGTTGGTAGTTGGTCCAGGCAGGCTGGTCACCAGCTAACATGTTCAAAAACACTGAACAAGCTATAGTTGTTAAATCATAAGTGTCATAAATGATTCTCATGTCTTTCAAAAATTAATCTGTGAAATGTACAGGACAAATGTTGGCCCACCAGTTCTTGCTTTGGACTCTCATTCACAGATGCCTTGTTTTGGGCGCAGGAAGCAGCATTTTTACTGCTTGATAAATATAAGCAGCACAGCAAAAAGCTTCATGTGCTCATCGTCTCCTAATTAGGACCTGAAATCAGTAATTATGAAGTCTGCTTTTTTAGAACAGAAAATGAAGAGGAGGAGGGCTAGTATGCTTGTGTTGAATCAGTGGGAAACTCATATTTGTGCAGTATATTTGTACAGTGTGCAAATGTCAAACGATTGTGGAATATAAACATGCACATCAACCTCATCATTATTTTTTAGCATTCATGTAAACACTATGTTCAGATTCATCAATCAGAATGATTTCATTCAGACTGAAACAGAAGTTGTCCATGTAAACATAGATATTGTCATGTGACCTATACAGACACATACTTTACATCTGCATATACAGCTTCAATCTCAAATGTGTCCCTTATAAAAACAACTCAGTTCGAAATTCACATTCAAAATATGTGGCACCAAAGTTTTTAATTTGTGTGTATTCAATAAGCTGCTTCTTTCAATCAGTTGATCCAACTTACCAACTTAACTAGAAGCCAGCTACTAAGAAGCCAGCTATGTTGCAAAACACAGCTACTAGATTAAACTGAATTTTCCAACAGGGCATTCACAGGGGACTGTGATTTTTGTCAAGCAGGACGTGTTCCTGGATTTAAATCTTTCGGTGGTTCCAAAACACCAGTCTGGTCAGCTAAGTTGTTTTCTCTGACTGTAAACCTTTTTGCTGTTACTAACTATACAGTACTTATGAAATAAGATGAAAGTGATCTGTTGAAACTTAAATCTAAATCTGAAAGTTCCACTTATCTGATAGGAATATCATTCGTTGTTCAACTTGCCAAAATCACAAATTGGCCTTATGTCTCACACGGGACATAGAGGATTAAGTAAGTAAGTACTGTAATCCATTTGAGAAGCCTCAGTTATTAGCCGCTCTTATTTGAGGTTTGGACATTGTTTGCCTTCCCTTCCCAAATTGATGTATCGATGTATCATTCCTGAGTCCCACGTATCTTTAAGGAGTCGCCAGGCTGACTGCAAAGACTTCAAGGGCTTGTAGCCTTTGGCTGACTCTGCCAAAGGAGAGTTCAGTGGCTCATGGAAATGTTTCGGTAGCTTTGCAAAGGCACTTGCGGTTGGCTCATCTTTATGACTTACTTGACAATGTCCAGTACTGTGATTCATTTTATCCTCAGTATGAAAACCTCTCTCTTGCTCTCTCTGTAGGCAGCTCATGGGAGACTCTATCAAGACATGTTGGAGTGTCCAGGTATGTAGAGAATGCAGAGAATGAGAGCATGTATACGTGATGCACCATTTTGACCGATTTGAAACTGATCAGAGCTAGATCACAAAGTTCAAACCAGTGAGGACGCAGTAAGGCCATTTAAGGCTTATTACCAAAAACACATTTAACATAAAACATTTTTTCATGCAGCCATGTTATCGCCCGATTTGAACCATATTGCAAAAATTCCGTGAACTTGTGTTACCCAATATTTATGAATGCAACTTTACAGAAAACACATGATTTTAATTATTATAATATTTTACTGTCTGCATGGCTCATAGTCAGATTTAGCAGATTAGAGCTTGGCAATATCATTGTTTACATTTTGCGAAAATACAAGCAATGAAGCAGTTGAGATATGCTATGTGGTAGCTTATATTTTATTTTTAGATGAAAGGCTACCATATTCTGTACCATATTCAAGCACTTGTGTTTTACTCAAGTTTTATGTTTCATGTTTTTATTTTATTTGGATTAATTTTATTTTTGATATCTATTTTTATTTATTTTTATATTTAATTTTTTTATATTTTATTTCATTGTATTGTATTACTACTTATTTTATTTCTAGATAAAAGGCTACATTTTCAAGCCCTCTTTTCTTTTATTTTCTTCATGAAAACGTTGTGAAAGGCTGCATTTTCTGATCTGTATAACACCATATAGCTCAGATATATCATTTAACCACTGAGTTTGCGGTTGCTCCTTCAGGCTTCCGCTGGAAGATCCTTGGAGCATGGTGTGGCTCCTGACACCAGATCTTGGGATCTTCATCATCTCTCTGATCACCCTGATACTGTGTAACCGTCTGTTGAAGAAGAGAGAGGAGGGACCCATACCTCACATGTCTACACTTCTCCAGGAGGTGAGCTGAGCATAGACCAGGCCTACAGTTGATCTATTGTTATGTTTGAGCAGCTTATTATGAGACACTGGTGAGTAATGTTTGTTTAGTCTGAGCCTCACACAGCCCACCCGTGGCCTGCTTCAGTGCAGTGCTGATGTAATCCACAGACTGCTGTTTCACTGGCTGGCTGCTATATACGTTGTGTGAGTCAGGGATTTTTTCATTCTTCTGGGAGGCAAATATTTGTTTGCATGCATCCTGACTTATACAATGAGAGGCAAAACCTTTTTTCTAAATTTTGAAAAGTTAAGGTTCATAATATAACAAGGTTCTGGATCTTCTAAAAGAAATCATATGGCAATCAATCAGTGGTCCCAAAAATTCAGATTACTACTTTTCTTTTTTTTTCTTTTTTTAATTAATTCATTTATTTTTATTTTTATTTTTTATTTTTTTTATTTACTGAAGCTTTGGCAAGCAAATGAGATATCCTCAGGATCAACTGCATGTTCTGCCTTATTGCTGAGTCTTACATCCATAAAATAATCTGTATTTAGTAGTTTTAGATTAAGGTAAATTGTGACCACAAAGTGTACATGCACCATGCTACCATATTATTGTGGTATCATCGATTTGAGAATTACCTGTCTATTTAGGTCATGTAAAAATGTGATTGCTCATTTTATGAATTGGTCCGATTGAACCTTCCTGTCTAAGTGTATGTTATATACTCCAGACATTGCATAAAAATGACTTGCAAGACTAATGTTGCCAAGCCCAAAATGCCACATAGGTATATCTTAGATATACAGTGGGGAAAAAAAGTATTTAGTCAGCCACCAATT